TCCAGGACTCGTGTGCAGTCAGCCATGTGGGATCCAGCTAACGTATCCATCAGGCTGGCTTGACTTCACTTCTTACTGCCTCTCTCAACTCATTTTTCCTCCCCTGGCCACCCAGCCATGAGCCTCCTCACTGTCTCTGAGCAAGTGAGGCAGGCTTTTGCCACAGGGCCTTGGCATGTCTGTTCCTTCTGCCCAGAGTACGTCTCCTCCAGAGATTGCATGGCTCGCTCCCTTATCTTTCAGATATGGTAGGCGCCTTCTCAATGAGGACCTCTGTAACTCCTGTATTTAAACTTATAATCCTCGGTAAGCTCTAACCTCTCTGCTGCTGTCTAGCAAATCACGTATTTTCATTTACACGTGTGTTCAAATCCTGCCTCCCCTCAGTAGGCCAGCCCCGTGAAGGTCTGGGATTTTTACCGTTTGGTTCACTGCTGTAGTCTCCGTGTCTAGCATCGTGCCTGTTGTTACTTGTTGAACAAGTAAGGGATCCCACAGGAACACATGACCTCCCCCATCACCAACTCCGCACTTCCTAGAGTGCTTCACAAAATCCCGTTCCTAACAGGATGAGTCCCTGTTTGCAGATCCAGGTCCCAGCTAATTATCAGGAAATCAATGTTGACTTCCGTCTCTATCAGACCCTCCTCTTATCTTGGAGGAGGGCCTGTTCCTGCCCAGAGGAAGCCCCCTGTAATTTACTAACATCTGAATCCAGGCGGCTGGCTGTCTCCCCACACCTTAGCCCTTCGACGCTTTCTTTCCTTGTGGGCCAGAGCAGGGCCCTAGGTGGCCTGCTGGAGTAGCCTGCCTTCTTCGGCTGCCTGACCTCCTCTCGGACTTATACTGAGTTAATTAACACATTTTCCTCATCCCTCATCATCTCTAAATACACGGGATCTTCAAAAACTTCATGGTAAATGTGTATTATGAAAAATGATGCATGATTTTCAAAATTTTTTGCACTTAAATGCTTGCTCTAATTCCGTTTTCCCACACACTTTTTGAAGTCTTTGTGCATTCAGTAGAGCAGAACAGTATTAAGGCTAACCACAGTTTCCACTTAACTGTGCATAGCATTTGTACTGGAGCGCTTGTGGGAAGGGATTCAAACTGCAGATGCTATCAAGCCAAAATACAACTGTATTTCCAATGACCAGCCGAAGCAACTCTATGAGAAGGAGGATGGTGGGTGCGGAAAGGAAAAGCTCTCGTTTGTAAAAGACCTTTGGCCAGGTCCTACTGATTTCTTTGGTGTTTTGGCTCAGTGGCCATCCTCCTGAGAGCGTGGCACTGTTCTGAGCAAGCCAGGGTCCTGGCCCTGTGTGTTGGGGTCCTCTGGGGTGCTTCCGAGAGGAGCTGATCTTGGCCAGAAAACTCCTCCATGCAGGGGGAGCTTATGGGGTAGAAGCATGGTCTGGAGGATGGAGAGGGGTTGAATGGATGGGGAGACCCTGATGTCAGATGGACCTGGGTGTGGGTGGATCTGCCTCTCCCTCCACTGGGATGATTTAGGACGTCTACCTCTTGCCTCACCTCTGTTTCCTGACCTGTAAGTGGTCAGAACAGCACCTGCCTCTGGAGTCATTGTGGAGTACACAGAGTGGCCATGCATAGCACACTCGGTAACCCAGTGTAGGGAGCCAGCCACTGACCCCAGACCTTGCCCCTGTGGAACTTTCATGACTGAGAACACACACAACCCTGAAATAAACACCTGAAAATGACAAATCCCACCAAGTAACTGAAAGGTCATCCTTTCTATTAAACTACCTTTTTATTTTTCTTTAGGTTTTGTCAGAGAGTTTCTGTGCTTGCCAGAGACATAGGAAAAGTGAGAAAGCATCCCCCCCAGGAGGGATGGCCATGCTGCAATTCCTTCTCTTTTCTCCTGTTGGGATTTTGGGTATGTTCAAGTCACCAGGTCTGGACTCAAACCAGGTAGTTGACCATGTGGGATCCAGCCACCTTAAGCACCATGCAATCAGTTGGCCCTAAACTACTTTTAAAAGAAACAATTTATATGTATTTAACAAAAACGTAGACATTCATATTAACTTTAAAATAAATTTTAAAATTATTTTTAAGTTAAAATATTATTTTAATTTGTCATAGGACATGTGTGCTCACCAGAGAGAGACAGAAAAAGAGAAAGTGAGAAAGTAAGCTGCCAGGTTTGGCACCAAACCACATTTAGCCATGTGGGAGGCCAGCGCTTTAGCCACCATGCCACCTGCTGGCCCTAAAACTTTTTAAGTGTGGCAAGTCATCCTCTGTCTAGTGGTGCTTCTGCGGCTCTGGCTAGGATTTGAACTACGTGTGCATGTATATGTACATACGAGTGTGTAGACCTGGCTGTTTTGGGTTGGCCATGCTAACCCCAGGTGAGTCATTTGGTTCTAATGGAGCTGGCGGGCAGGAATGGATGATCTTGGCATGAAAAGCTACCTTCAGGGCGGAATCCTAGAGAGCGTTTCTCAGGGAGGGGCTGGGAGTGTGGTAGGAAAAAGGCTGTCCCGATGGCAGGGCGTATTCTCTTCGGGTTATTTCAACAAGTAAGAACAGGGCGGCTGGGGAGGTGGGATGGGCGTGGGAGGGATTGGAAGAGAGGATCTTGTAGGGAGAGGCTGGTCTCAAGCCGCTTCCAAAGGAAATTCTTCTATCTGGGGCTGGAGTTGGGATGAGGATAAGAGTAAAGAATGGATCAGTACATTTGGAAAAGCTGTTGTTTATTTGGGTGTGACTTCTATTCGGTCTTAAAAAAAAGATGGCAAAAACTGTATTCCTTTTATAGTTGGAAAAATGTTAAAAATGAAGAAAACCCATCAACTATGTGGAAGACTTTTGATGCTAGTTGGAGAGACTCCATATCAGTCGTTGACCCTGAACGCTGACCTGAACCTCTTGTCTATTTAGCATGTCACGTCTGCCTTCTAATGGCCTCTCTTGGCTGTGTTGGCTTGGCTTTAGATTCTTGTACGGATCGTGAACTTCCTGGGGGCAGGCCTTCCCCAGTGGGTGGGGGCTGGGTCAGCCAGGCCACTTACTCCCAGGATATTGCTAAAAAAAATTTCTGTTGAAAGTCTCAACCTTGGGGCCAGCAGGTGGCGTGATGGTTGAGGAGCTGAATTCCCATGGCTGATCATGGTTCGAGACCTGGACCTGGTGCCTTGAAAATAATGTCAGGAGCGTGCGTGCGTGTGTGTGTGTGTGTGTGTGTGTGCATGCTCAAAACCTGGAGAGGAGAATAGAGGAGATGGGATTGCAGCATGACCATCCTTCTTGGGAAGTGATTTCTCACTTTCCCTTTCTCTGTGTCTGATGAGTGCGCACATGTCCTATAGACAAACAAAAGAAAACCTCAACTTTCCTTTGATGACAAATTTTCATTTGTTTTTTGAACTGGTAAGTAATAGTTAACATTTAAGTAATGCTCCATCATTTACCAAGCACTTTCATTTACATTTTTGAATGTGACACTCAACACATAAGGATAAGTTTTACTATTGTTAATGTTAACTGTTTGTGTTCTATGAAGTTCAGAGAGGTTAAGAGACTTGCCAGGGGTCACACAGCCTGGCAGAGGCTGAACTTAAATCTTTGGGTACTGTCAGGGTAGTTCATGAGGTGGCTCTGGTGCTTACAAGCCATATCGTGAGTCAAAACGGCCTTTGGTTTTGCTCACAGCCTGTGCATTAAGAGTGGATATTATTCCCTTTTAATGGGTAAAATGAGCAGCACCCTCAGCTTAAGCCTAAGTGGCAGAACCCAGCCCTAAGATCTCTTTGCTCCCTGCTTCCAAGTGCTGCTCCCAAAGTCTGCGCATCACGGCATGGAGGGGCTGTGTGTGAGTGCAGGGCCCTGAGAAAAAAGGGAGTGTCGCATCATTTGCCCCTGGGCACCAACCATTTTCCAAGCTCAGCTCAGAGGACTGGCACATCCCCTCGTCACAGGCTTAAACACAAGGAACCAAAACGGAAAGACGGTGACTTGTGCCCCATCCCACCTGCATTTCAGACCCTGCTCCTTTGTACATGGGCTTCTCCCTCCATCCCCCACATGTAGTCCTTGAGAGGTGGGACGGTCACACCATGCCACCACGCCGGTCTTCATCTGATTCTAGGTCTCTAGAAACACAGGCTTGTCCTGAAGAAGCCCCAGGCTGCTTCCAGATCTTTCCGGGAGAGAGCAGACTCCTCTGACTTTAGGTAGCGGAAAGAGTTCAGTTCAGATGGGCGGGAAGTGTCAGCACTTCGGGTCACTCATTTCCTAACGGTGACAAATTCTCATTGGCTCCAGCTGCTGCTGGTGTGGCCAGGTAGAGGCAATCCTGTGGCCATCGAGAAAAGATGCCACCCCAGCTCCAACCAACCTCCTCCTGAGGGAAGGAATATCAACAGGAAGAGCAGAGCCTTCTGGGGACCCCTTCCTTCTGTGGTGGATTGATGGGGCGAGCACACCTGATGCTGCTGGGTGACTCCTTCCTCACCTCTGGGCCAGTGCTACGTGGCTGTACAGGTGCGTCCATTTCTAGAGTGGGCAGCCTGGAGCCCGCCCTCCTGGCAGCCCAGGTGAGCGCATCTTGCCCATGTCCCCCGGGCAGCAGGCCTCTGGCATCCTAGTACTCATGGTTCCATTGTGCTAGCAGCAGGCCTGGCACCTGCTCTCTAGACGGCCCCAGCTGCAGCAGCCAGTGGGGTTCTAGAGGAAGTCTGGCTACATTCTAGAAAGGAGAAATGAGCTCTCCTGGCAGCTGGGTTGTCCTCTGGGTGCCTCCCCCCAATTCCCTCAGCAGCTTTGACTCTCTTCAGTGTCATTTTCCCATCACTGTTGAAGTAGGAGGAACACGTCAAAAAGCGCAGAGAAATTGGCAGAGATGAGATCAAAGGAGGGCATGGGGCGTCCAATTCCCTCCCCTCTCTCACTCCCCTCCAAGTTTCTGATGTAATTAAGGGAGAATAATGAGCATCAAACAAACAAATGGATAAAAGGCAACTCACCCCTGCTCCACCCGTGGGCCACAGTAGCCTGAGCATTGTAATACAACAGCAGGAGCAGCAGCGTCTTCCAACACATCTTTTCCTCCTCAAAGATGAAGAATTACCCTCAAACCTGATGGGACCCTGGTAGCTACAGGTATACCCACACTGTCCTGCCAGGGGGACAGTGGCGTTCTCACCACCCTTCCCTTTGAGGCGTGCAGAAATGCCTGGGAAGGGAGCGGGCAGAAGGCTGCCTCCTGGGTGGGACAGGAGTCGGCACCTCTCTAATCCATCCGACTCTCTCTGGGATTGCGGGACTGGCCTTCCACAGAGAGGCTCTGTTTTTGAGCACATCTGGAGTGACTCACGGGGCATGTGATCTCCTTGGCAGTGGGGTGGATAAATATAATTTCTGTACTTGAGTTCCATGTGTTGGATGCACCCACTGGAATTTTTCTTTAACAAACAGACCCGCGGAACTTGTTAGCCCGGTGAAGAGTTGGCCGCTCTCCCCGTCCACACACACTGCACCAGAGCCAGCGCGAGGGCTGGAGGAAGAACTGGGAGGTTGCCTGGCAGACGGGGCTGGTAGAGCCCAGAGTTGCCTTCAGGACAGCGGAGTTATTGTAGTACTTGGGTTGGGTGTCACTGTTGCCTTCCACTGAGGCTAGCTCTGGGGATGTTAGTGCCTAGACCCAATGCCTAGAACCTTCTCCAAGTTCTGGGAGGTGGGAATTGTAGGTTAGGAGGGGACAAAAATGGAGAGGTAGTTTTGTGTATTTTGTACTTGAGAACATGCAGAAGCCAGAGATGATCAGTCAGGATGCAGAGGTGGACGGACCCCTTGCCCCCAAGTGACATCCAGGATGTCCCCCTTTTGGAACTGTGCCCAGGCTGGGACCGAACCACTTTGATTCTCCCAAGCAAAACGGGAACTTTTCCGTGATCAGTTAAAAAGTACCACAGGTGGCTTGGTGGTTAAAGAAGCTGGATTCCCACATGGCTAACTACAGTTCGAGTCCTGGACCTGGCAGCTTGCTTTCTCACGTTCCCTTTCTCTCTCTCTCTCTGTCTCGTCAAATTAAATGATAATAACAAATGAAACTTAAAAAGTTAAAAAGTACCGCTGCAGTCACCTTGACTTTGTCTAATATCACTTCCTCACCTTCTTTTCAGTTTCAGATAGGGGATGCCACAGGCTGAAGAATATTTAGAGATTACTTGACTTTATGGGTTCTAATCTGTGGGGTGCTTAGGGTAAACGGTCTGCTGGAGAGGACACCTAGAGGGTCTCCTCTACTTCAGAGCTCCTTTTCTGAGGAGCCAGCTGTGGTAACACAGCAATAACGGGACACCAGCAATGCCGAGTCCTGGGTTTGTATCTGAGGTCTCCCCTCACACCAGGCACCTGCGATTCAGGCTGGGTGAGGCTGAGAGTGGAGTGTGGTGTGAGGACCCTGTTGATGGTGATGTCTCTCTCTGTTTTCTCTCTTGTGGAAGAAAGAAATAAGAAGTTGATTAAATGTACCTAGTAGTACTTCTTAAAGTAAAAAAGGGCCAGCTGGTGGCATGATGGCTAAGGTGGCTGAATCTCATATGGCCATGTGGTTCAAATCCTGGACCGAGTGGCTTGGAGAACACACGTATGTCAGGTGTGCCCAAAATCCTGATAGAAGAATGGAGAAGAAGGGATTGTCATGTGGCTATCCCCTCTGGGAGGGAGGGTACTTTCTCACTCCCTCCCCCCCCATCCCTCTATGGTCCCTCTACCTCTGGGGAGCACAGGTGCACCATAGGGGAAAAAAGGTTGGAAAAAAATGCCAGCCCTGTAGCCTAGTAGCTAAGGGAGTTAACATGATTCTATATGGCTGACTATGGTTCATATCTCAGCTCCGACAGCTTGAAAAATACACTGGGTCTATTTGTGTGTGGGTCCCAAATCTTGACAGGATGGAAAAATAGAAAAGGGATTGCAATGTGACTCTACCCCATTGGAAATGCGCATGCTCTCTCTCTCGTGAGTGCACATGTCCTCTGGCAGCTAAAGTGAAAAAGAAAAATAAACAATGCCGCCAGAACAACAGGTGTATTCACCTGCTAATACTTTTTATTTACTTCACAAGATACCAAGTATTATCATTTCTACATTAATCAATACTAATTAGAGTTCTTTTTTTACTTGAAATCTAATATAAATTTCACATACTGCATCTTAGTGCAGGGCAGCCACATTTCAAGTACCTGAAAGCCCCTCGTGGCCAGCACCTACTGCATCCGGTGGTGCAGAGTGGTGGGAGAAGGTAAGTGGCCATGCTCTGAGGCTGGCTGCCCATCTTCGCGTTCTGGCTCTGCCGCGCATGAGCTTGTGATCTTGGTGGAGTTTCCTAATCTCTCTCTGCCTCGCTATTTCTCATCCGTAGAACAGGGGTCATAATAGTTTCTTCCTCACAGAGTTGTGGTGAAATCAGTGAGTCAGTACAGGCAGACCCAATCTTACTGTACTTTGTAGATACTTTACATTAACACATGGAAGGTTTGGGACAACTCCATGTCAAGCAAGCCTATTGGTGCCATCTCCCTAACAATGTATGCTTACTTTGTGTCTCTGGTAATTGGTAATTCTCACAATATTTCAAGCTTTTATGTTGTTATTATATCTGTATGGTGATCTTTGATATTACTATTATAATTGTTTGGGGATATCAGGAATTGCACCCATATAAGACGGCAAACTTAATTGATAAATGTGTGTGCTAACTGCTCTGCCAACTGGTGCTCTCCTCTCTCTCTCATTCTCTCATTCACTCTCACTGGGCCTCCCTGTTCTCTGAGACACCAGTTGGAACCATTAACAACCCTAAAATGTTTACGTGAATCCTATGTGTTAAGTGAAAGGAAGTCAAAAGCTAGAAATAAAGCTTAGTGAGGAAGGCATGATGAAAGCTGAGACAAGCCCAAAACTAGGCCTCTTGAGCTAAACACTTAGCAAAGTCATGAATGCAAAGGGAAAGCTCCTGAAGGAAATGAAAAGAACTACTTCAGTGAACACATGAGTGATAGGAATGCTAAGCAGTCTTATTGCTGATACAGAGAATATTTTAGTGTCTGGACAGACAGTCAAACCAGACACAACATTCTCTTAAACCAAAATCTAACCCAGAGCAAGGCCTTAACTATCTTCAATTCTATGAAGACTGAGAGGGGTTAGGAAGCTGCAAAAGAGAAGTTTGAAGCTAGCAGAAGTTAGTTTATGAGATTGAAGGGAAGGAGCCAAATCCATGACATAAAAGTGCAAAGTAAAACAGCAAGTGCTTATATAGGAACTGCAGCACGTGTGGTATATATAGGGGAAGTGGCTATACTACACAACAGATTTCCAAGATCTAATGAAAGAAGATGCCATCTAAGACCTTCGTAACCAGAGAGGAGAAGTCAGTGCCTGGCTTCAAAGCACCGGCTGCCTCTCTTGTGAGGGGCTGATGTAGTTGGTGACTTTAGGATGAAGCCAAGGCTCATGTACCATTCCAAAAATCCTAGGGTAACCTTAAGAATGATGTGAAATCAAATGTTAATGCTCTCTAAATGGCACAACAAAACCCAATGACAGAGGGTCTGTTTTTGGCATATTTTACTGAATATTTTGAGCCTATTGAGACCTACTGCTCAGGAAAAAAAAATTTTTTCCTTCAAAATATTACTGCTCCTTGACAGTGCAATGTTCCTGGTCACCCAGGAGTTCGGATACAGATGTACAAGGAGATTAGTGGTTTATTTTTTCTTGCTTACTATCACAACATCCATTCTATAGCCCATGAAGGTGTCATTTTGACCTTCAAGTCTTACTTTAAAAAAATTTTAGTTCATAAGGCTGTAATTCCTTTAATGGATCTGGGGAAAGGAAATTAAAAACCTCTTGGGAAA